CGGAATGCCTAATGAGTCTTGGAGGTCCGCACAGTCGTGTTCCAAAATGGGTTGATGATGGTCAGCGACTCACAGGCTTACACACTGAGCAAAGTTTGTATTTGGCAAGCGTAAACTATAGACGGTAAGTGATAATTTGTCACATTACTGCCAGAAAAACATAGGACAGCACTGGACTTGTATAGATAATTTTGCACTCAACATAGTTTCGTAATGTAGCGGTAAGCTGTCGTACCTAGTGGAACAATTAGGTAAACTCAGATCACGCAGATGTATGCGCAAAAAGAATAAGCGAACACTCAATCATATTGAATCATATTGAAATACGGCCGCCCAACCCAGAAACGCTTTAGATCGGTGCCACCACGAACTGGGCATTGCCCCTTTCCGCGTGCATCGGAGGACACTTATGTTTTTTATACGATGTCAGAGGCTATATAAATGAAAAAATGACCGGAGTAAGAATTTTATACTTTCCAACTCCAGGAGTTTCTATGCAGGGTTCCATTTGGTCCATCAGAAACGACATGAATTGCCGAAAGCTTTAGAGAAGATTGAGGTCCATGATAGCACACATAAGTCCTAGGAATGGAGCATTCCTGATACTTTGAATCAAAGGACCCTCCATTCACATAGGTGAGCGAAACCATCCCTGAGCTTAGTAAATGGCCCGTTCCCCCCGAACCGGAGGGGCGGATTTCCGGGTCATTTACCGCCTGAAAAGTCACACGCCGCTAGTGAAGACCAGCTGCCGCAAGTACCGTCCAAAGGCGAAGAAAGCTACTATAAGCTTAACTGGTGCATAGATACCCGTACGTACAACGTACGATAATCTTACTATAGCCTTGATCCTAATTTCATCCCAATGCCCACATTCCACCAAAAGGTAAGTTTGTTTTTCGCCCCTTCAATCTGTCGACTATTGTTCATCATTACCTGTTCGATCGTTGTGACTGAGCAGGCTCCACAAAACGGGAAAAGTTTGGAGCTGCGATTGATCCCCTGACGTGAAATCGAAATTTCATTACAATTCGTCTGATGTTTTCAGAAGTGTAGGTTAGTGTAAGCAACTCAAGTAGGACTTTGGTGAAGCGAGCTGTCGATCGGTACTGAAATGACGCAGCCCACCAGATACCAATGCTCCCTGCCTTCACTTTCCGTTGATGAATGAAACTTAATACGGCTGAATAGTAGGTTCGCTAGGTTTGTTCAGACCATTTGTGCCTAAGAATATCTACGCTGAGTGTTAATGGCACTAGTCGATTTGTAGTCCAGCGAATTCTAGTCCGATTTGTTCCCTCCAAATAACAGTTGGCGGTAAAATAATTCGGAACGGAAGCCTTTCGCCCTGTGAGGAATCTCTCCTATACGGTTCTCTCTAAATGAAAGTCACTATATCATGTTTACCTAATGATCCAGGAGTGGTAAGAAAATCAGGTTATATGCTGATACTAAACTCTCTTATTTGGTCATTTCCCTGTAATGCTTCCGACCTCATTACAAAGCACTGCTGTTAGCAGTTGGTCTCGTGAGACCCCTTAGCGACAGTACCTCCCATGACTCGACATGACTGCCTAGGTCTAAAATGTCAACAAGGTGAGAATCCGATGTTGGATGGAGAGTTATTTCCTCCCCGTCAATGTTGATATCAGTATCACCTATGAAAATGACTGTTAAGTGAGAGGTAAGGAGATTTATCTGGTGCACTTCGAAAGTATGATGGGACTTCAAAAAATACACTCATTTACAAATCAATTTGGTTTCCACGGGAGATTCAAGTGAATCCCTCGTTTATGATAGTCTACAACTGAAGGTCCGGCAGACAGGCCGCCTCATGTTTCACCTGGCACGATATTCGAGATATCGCAGTATACTTTAATGAAGGAAACTACTCACAAGGCTGCTGAAAACCGATCGTGGGCTATCGAAGAGTTTTCAGCAACCTTGCGAGTAGTTTCCTTTATGCAAATATGATGGGAGTTTCTCAATCCGACGGAATGTATTCTGTCTAAGAATGATGGTGGACTAATTCGGTGGCTCACAACAGTGGTTATTAAGCTGACAAAACTGAATCTTTTGGGCATGATCAGTGGGTCCTTGCCTCTCAAACCAAAAATAAACCAGTGAACTCGGATGCCGTGTACAAGGACCTCGAGAAACATTGGGCACGGAGTAACAAAGTACACAAGCGACTACTTTGAGAAGTTCCTCCAATCACCCTACATCATTCTAAAATAAAAAAAACGTTTCCAGTCATCAGAAATTATGTTCAAAATGGAGATGCTCCGGAACTCTGAGTCGAAGAAATGTTGGAGGAAGGAGGGCAAAATGGCAGGCTTCATATCATGCTCAGCCAGATAAGTCTGATATAAAAGCGGTTTGCATAACAATGCCTAGGATGCTCACGTAACAATCGTTATTCCTCATTCTTTCCTGCAACTCCCCGTTATCCACTCCGTACGGTGGTACTGGATTTCCAATTCTACTACTTTTCATCGAATTCATTCAGAAGAACGTCATGCATTCGTCCGAGAGCATAATGCGAATAACGGAGTAAAAGCTAATATTACGTCGTTCCGATGAATAGGAAAGAATCAATACCCCTAATGTTATGCTTCTGAGACCACGGTAGCCATCAGTTGAGTCACGGCTCTTCTCTTTTGCTAAAGAAGCACTGTGGCCTGGTTACGCAACACAATAAACGCAGTGCTTTGCAGACCAACGGCTGATACCACCACATCCATGGAGAGACAATGAAATCACCAGGGGTACTATGTATGTTCTGTGATGTCTTTAACCTTCCTATATTAATCACTGTCGACATCTTCCTGAAACAGTCCCTTCTGCATATTTCACTGTTCTGGTCAATAAGGTGCGGCACTTAAGCTTCGAACTTAAAAGTGCACTAATGCAATTCGAACCCACCGATTCGAGACGTGCAGTGGCAAGCTTAAATATCTTGTCATTAGATATCTCCATCACAGCGCTGTACGCACCTGCACCTAGTCCTGAGCAGCTCACTAAAGACGAACTGTCTACACGCTCCAAGAAGTTTTCGAAAAAGTCTCGGTACCCATGGTGACTGGAATGCTCGTATTGAACCATACGATACATCAACGTGCCATATTCCTAGAAATTACAATTCGGTAGTGTCACTGACTGCAAAGGTTTTGCTTCACCAACAGTGCTTCTAACAGTGTAAGAAGCATTCGTTAACAGGGTCTTCAAACGACGGGGACACATGTCACCTGTTTGCCAACATCATAGTTAAATTCAAGTGGAATTCACCTGTAGACGACTCCAGGTCCTTCAGAGGAGCAGAGCCAGGGAACCCAGAAGGACCATATCACAGGCTCGTAAGAACAAAAATTCAACTACACTTGAAGAATCATCTGAGGATTCGCTTTTAAGGAAGTAAAAACACACCCTTTTCGAACTCCATATTAAGCAATAATCCCCGGATAATCCTAAGATGTGCCGCAAGGCTCGACGATATCAATGCACAATGTTTGTTTAAAGTGAGTGTGACTCAGGAAGCTGCTACCAGCCATCAGGACAGTACGCTACTTCGACAGAACCAGGTCTCATGAGAGGAAGCACGATTGCCAGGCCAGGCTGCGGTGAGACTATCCAGCATATCAAACTATTGAACTGACCCAACATAGAGGTTGCGTCTGGACGAAACTAGTTCACCCTGCACAAGCCAGTGAAAGGCCATTGCCTGCTCATCCTACGCACTGCATGTGATACTGGTGAGGCGTGTTGGTGACTCAAGCCTTTTTTTCACAACTGACTGCAAATCCCGGCTCTAGAAACTTAGCAATGGGAAAAATTGACCCAACAACCAAACAATGGCTTTATTGGAGAAATTGTTGCGATTTATAAGGTGCATTTGAGCCTTGAATTGAAGCTATCCGGTTAGTGTTGTCTGATCCGTTGACATGGCTTCCGACATATGCCAGAGCACTCAAGCATCGTCAGTCGTCGCTGACTAGCTGTCCGAACGTTCAGTCGGTATCTGGCTTTTCGGCCGTGAGAGGCAGTGACCTTCGCGAAGCGGTTTTTGCGGACCTGGCTGTCCCCAATACGTTTCCAAGGTTATTTTCAGGAATCTGACCCTCCCGACAATTTGAAACCTCTCAGCAAGCGTTCAACCCGATTAACCGCTTCCGACAGCGTTGAGTGCGGTTTTTTCAACAACAGAAATAACGCGTCGATCGGCTGAAAAGCCGTGAAGCCTTTGGTGAGGGTATTCATCCACGTATATAATAACCGTGTGCTACATTCTTTTTCGCACGCTTCTAGCACTAATCTGTTCGGTCTGGGACACCGACACGTTTCTGAGATTGGAAAACCACTGTTCTTCTGTTTGTGAAAGCAATCATGCAATAAGCCTGTTAGGTGTATCTTCAAGAATACCCATCGTCTTTCCTATTAAATGGTTAGCTAGCGAAAGACACTCATGCATGAGTCAAAGCTGCACAGGTCTTCGCTCACGAAAAGGCTGCACTGGTAAAAGATTCGCTCTACGCCGTGCACTAGAACAACCACAAGAGTAGTGTGTTCTGTCAAGAAACAAGGCTACTTTCAGCACAGCACTGCTGTGAGCCGGAAACAAAGTCCAACGTGTTGCGTTAAGGTAGACCAGCCCAGGAACAAAACTCGGAAAGCCCCCGAAAAGCCAATGCGATTAAGAAATAAACTTTGATCGATTTATATAATTCGGCCAATACGGCAAAACAGGACATTTCAGCCAGTACATTGAGCTTTGCGTTACAGGAAAGGTGCGGGGGGGGGGGGGAATTGCAGAGGGAAGTCA